GGAATAAATCTTAGTTAAAAAATAGTAGAAAAAAAATAATAAAAAAAATGCTCCTCTGTGGCATCTGAGAAACTACCCGTTTTGCTACAAAAAACCCAAAAGGCTGAATGTGCAGAGATCAAAAGTAAATGTCTCTACCACATTTATCTTGATGGAAGGCACGTGAAGAAAACTCAGGATACAAATCCAGAAAAAGCACATTACCTGCATTGCCTCTGAGGTGAAGTACAGAAGACACAGTCCCACAGGCAGGAAAATTCTGCAGTCCTTGGTTGGTTCTCAAGGCATTTCTCCTCTGCAGTCCTGCCCAGACACAGCTACCCCAGGCAGTCAAACCCCAGGTAACTGTGTTTTTGTTAACCACAGCAGATGTCAGGTCTAGTTTGGGATTCCATCTGCCTGGGTCACTCTCCATCCTGCCTTGAACAACAGGGGAGGATGGGGTAGGGAAGGAGACAATAGAAGAAGAAGAGGAAGAGTGAGAGGAAGAGGAAGAGGAAGAAGAAAGAGGGAAGAGGAAAGGGGAAGGGGAAGGGGAAGAGGAAGGGAAAGGGGAAGGGGAAGGGGAAGGGGAAGGGGAAGGGGAAGGGGAAGGGGAAGGGGAAGGGGAAGGGGAAGAGGAAGGGGAAGGAGAAGGGGGAGCAGAAAGTGAAAGGGAAGGAGAAGGAGAAAGGGAAAGGGAAGGCTTGGGAAAATGTGGCCTTGATTCCAGCAGATGAAACTATTGTTCCAAGCAGGTATTTTAGCTATTAGTCTTCCAAGTTCATGGCTTTCATGTAGGATTCATTGGCACACTGGTGACTTCTAGGCAGGTGTTCAGGAGGTCCCTCAAGGGGCCCTGAGTGTCATCAGGTGTTTGCACAACCCCGTAGCCTTTGTTGCAACCAGCAGCCACTGCTCAGCAGTGGTCTGGGTTACTCTGCATGTTGTAGGTGCTGGTGGTATAGTTTCGGCAGGCTGTTCGTATTCTGGGCTGAGCAGGTCTGGCAGCTCCAGCAGTACTCCTGGGCTCCAGAGTTTATCAGTCCTTGGGAGTCCTTGGAGTCCTTTGCACAGACCTCTCAGCACATACTCCCCTTCTTCTTGTCTCGCTGTTTTCTGGTAGCTTTTTCTCCATCAACAACCACCAGTACCTATGGGATCCATTCACACAAACTCCCACAAAAGGCCACTTACAGCCATCCATTGAATTTGTGTCTCTCGATTTATTCTTCCCCACTCTTTAAATGAAAATTGTACTATGCAAGAACAGTGGGGGTTGCTAGGGAACACTCTTAGTAAACCTATAAGAGAATTTTACTTCCCTGAACCACGTGAATCAGAGAAGTACACGGCAGAGGGTGTGTCAATGCCAGTGACAAAATAAAAGGATGAGCTGCCTCCTGTGCTTGAGTAACAAAAGTCACAGCTTTCCATTGGGTCCTATCCACCCGGTCAGAAGGGGCGTTTATTCCCTTATTTAAAGGGAATAAACAGACTTGCTAGCAAAAGAAGTCTCCAGTGCCCAGGAGTTGCTTACACCTCCTTTACAAAGCTGGGACAGAAAGAAAGTGAAGAAAGCAATTCACAGGTAGGTAAGAATGCCTGGTAGAGAGAACTGAGCTACCCTCTGAAAAGGAAAAGGTTTGAGCAAATCAGTCATGCCAGAAAAGAGATTCGGGAAAGACAAAAACCCACAAAGAAACGTCAATACAAGCTAAAGAAAGTATGATTACAGAATACTATCTTGCAACATGCCTGAGAAGGAGACAGGACATGAAACCGCCTTTGGCAGACAACAGGAAGAGAAAGAAGTGAAGACCACAGTGAAGTGCTTCTCCAGGGCTGGGCTGGCCTTCCCTGTGAGTCACACAGACAGCTAGCTGTGTGAAAGGAAACAGGCAGCATGGATGGGTGCTGGAGCCCTCGTGTGTCTAGTTCCTGTGCTCCAGCATTTGACATAGGAGACTGTAGACACGGACAAGGAAATTTCAGAGCAGCACATTTCTCCATTGCATATTCTCCAGACTGTCAAGAGATGCTCTGAATAAACTTAAGAAACTCTGGGCAGGCATCACCATCTGCAAGGCAGGGGCACGCCAAAGAAAGGAGTCAGAGTCTCAAGAGGAGGAATATTCATGAATCAGCCACAAGAAGGATTGCACACACCTTCAAGTGCAAAGGAAGCAGAAACTCTTGCCCCACAGTGGCAAGGCAAGGCAAGGGCTGTCCCATGTGCAAAGCTCTTGCCAAATCCAGCGCTATGGCCTAAGAGTAAAATAAAAGCCCTTGCAATGCCATGCCATGCCTAGGGCATGCCTCGCAGGTTGTAGGCAGCAAAGCACGAAGCAGGAGGTCAGGAGACAGCAACTGCTGCTCACCGGGTGGGAGAGAGCACCCTGTGAGCCAAGTTGTGTTTAAACAGCAACGCCTGGCACGGCCCCAGCAGGGAGGAGCCTGCAGCAGGGCTGCTCGGGGTACCTGCCTGCCTTTTGGTATTGGAACACTGGAGCCCCAGAGCTGAAGCAAACTTCTTTTGCTCTTGAACTCCTGCCGCCTGCTCTTCCAGATGGAAGGTCGTCTTTTGGGTCCTCCAAGTTGCAGTCCCAGGTGCACCCCACAGCGAGCAGCTGCCCTGGGCCTTGGGGGACAGGCAGGAGGAGGGGTGGCAGGACGGGACATGTGGGCAGGACCAAAGATGGATGTCCCCATCAGCCAAGCTTGCCAGCCCTCCTTGGGCCCTGGCTAGAGAGTGCTCTAATGAGTCAGTGACATCTGATTGCTGGGGTCAGGACACGGGGCCTTTTGTGCTGCGTGTTGGACCAGCGTCTCCTGGCTGGCCAGAGGCACGCAGCTGGACGCAGGCCGAAAGCTCTGCAAAGGGAGGCTGTAGCACAGCCCGTGCTGAGGAGGAGAGGGCAGGAACCTGCCTGGGGGGCAAGTGGCCCTGGAGGGCAAGTGGCCCCGGAGGGCACCTGGCCCCAACAGGCAGCACCCGCCCCCGGCTCAGGTTCACACTCGGCCTGAAAGAGGGGCAGAAGGGATCTGCCCGCAGAGGGTGGGTGCGGGCTGCGAGGGGTGGTGAGTGTGGATGCTTCTGGGGGAGCAAAGGGACCTTCATGTCCTTCTTGCACAGTCCCAAGGGGGGCTGTGACACCATATCTGAAAGAAAAGTAGTTTTTTCTAATGTTTGTTGGTGCAGGCAGGCCCTGGCAGTCACTACCGTGTGGGTTTTACAATAAGGCGAAAGCAAGCGGGAGCACCTTGGAAAGAGTCAGCTCAAAGCAGGGACTCAAGATTTTATGTGTGAACTACTGCTATTTATACTATTTACATATTTTTGTATTTTCATATATATTCATATATACATGTTTTCATATATATGTGTGTATTTATATATATACGAAAATATGGATTCCCTTCAGTGGCTGATCTCAGTCAGTCAGTCTAATCCGTAGCTGGCCCTTGGACACCCTGGTCTCCCCAGTTTCTGATACCTGGATGGACGAGACCCCATGAGCCCCAGTCCCAGTTGCTGGCGCTCAGACCTACACACACGCATGCCCAGACACCCTGTGGATACCTCTAGTAACTGGCCTTAGATGATTAATCTCTTCGGTATCTGGCTCCTGGATTGCCTGGTCTCCTGGTTTCAGACACACACAAACAACAGGTCTCTCCATGAGCTGGTCCAGTCCTACTGGCCTTCCTAGTAGCTACCTAGTCTCTCCCCAGTAGCTCGCTTGGACCCCTTGGTTCCTCCAGTATCTGACTGTCAGACCCTTTGGCCTCTCCAATACCAGCCCAGACTTACTGCCGCTCCAATAGCTGGATGCCAAGTCTCTTCTCCTGCTCTTGAGCTGGTCCAGCTCGATATTTGTTGTGATTGAAATACCCCGACGGCAACTTCTAGGGCTGCAGGCATGTGTAGACTGACGACTGTGGCCGGCCCTGAGGTTAGAATACCCAACTACAGCATAGGAAAGTACTGGCCATGGCATGAGAAGTTGCTCAACGTGGCAATTAACAGTGTGAGAGCCTGACAGGTGGTACAGACAGCACCATGGAGAATGGCTGGATTTCTCAGGTGGTTAAGGGGCAGTTTATGTGAGAAATCACTGCACTGCACAGAGAATTGGAACGAGGTTTTGGTGGCAAGAATTTCACAAGGCCGGCCGCAGATAGATTATATCAGTGATACCAAGTAGGGCCCAAATTGCCTAGATAAGAGTATCATAAACCTCAAAATAGGTCACAGATGTAGTAAAAACGGGATCGGTGAGAAAAAGGGGGCAGCTTGCTTACATGGGAGGAGATTGCACCGGAGGGACAAGGAATAGGAGAATAAAGTGTGCAAGTCATGACCTGGACTGTCCAAGAGCACCTGCTGGGCTTCTGTGCCATTGGTTAGCACAAGCTAAGCAGGACCATAAAGCAAACATGTCGTTCTGACCACAGAACACGTGTCAAAACAACTTGTTCAGTCAGGAAGCTATGGAGGGATGAGGAGGAGAGGAGAAGAGAGGAGGTGGAGGGAGCACTTGGCCTTCGAGCAGCTTCCCCCCTGCCAAGCGCTGGCAAAGCCTCTGCCACGGAAAGCAGAAGCAGAGTTGGGGACCAGAGGTGCTCCCCGAGCTCACCCGCAAAGGGCAGAGCCGGTGGGGATGATGTCACAAGCAGGGAGGTGAGGTCACAGAGCAGGTCCTTTCCTACTGGTCCCCGCTAGCCAAGGAGAGCCCTTGCTGCCCCTGCCCCGGTGAGCAAAGGGCCAGAGCCTGCTCGGGAGAGAGCCTGAGCCTGAGCCCTTCTGCTGAGGGGCTCCGCCGGAGCAACGTCGCTCCTGGCCTCCCTGCTCCAGGCCACGTTTATCCAGGCCAGCAAGCAAAGGCCCAGGCGAGCCGAGCCCCGAGACAAGAATCCCCTGCAGAGGCCAGCAAGGAAAGCAGGGACAGGCGGGCGAGGCAGGCGGGGCACGGGAGGGCGCAGCGTGGCGAGACCTGCGGGAGCAAGCTGCCAGCAGCATGTCCGGAGCAGAGGAGGTCTGCGTGGTGCCTGAGCAGGAGCGGGAGCCCGAAGCGACACACCCTGGGGGCCCCTGCAGCGGCAGTAAAGCCAAAGCCAAAAAGAGCCGCTTGTCCCGGTCCTCGCGGGCTGGGCTGCTCTTCCCTGTGAGCCGCGTAGACAGGCAGCTGCGCAGGGGCCAGTTTGCTGCGCGCTTTGGAGCCAGGGCCCCTGTCTACCTGGCTGCGGTGCTGCAGTGGGTGACACGCAAGACCATGGACGCGGCCGGCAAGATCTCCAAGAAGAGCAAGCAGCAGCGCATCTCTCCATCGCACTTGCAGACAGCCGTGCAGCGGAGCTCTGTGCTCAGGCAACTCCTGTTCGGCAGAGCGCCCAGGGGCCGCAGCAGGGCTGTTGCCCAAAGCCAGCGCGTGGCCTCGCGCGCAAAAAAGACCACGGCCAAGAGTAAGAAGAGATTCCCCAGGCAAAGGGGTTCGCCCCACCGAGCCGCTGCTGCTGCCAAGTGAGACAAAAGCAGAAGCTCTTGCCCCACACGAGTGAGGCGAGGGCTGCCGCGTGTGCGAGGCTCTTGCTGGCTCCAGCACTGCGGTCCAAGGGTACAATAAAAGCTTTTGCAATGCCGTGTGGGACACGGGGCCTTTTGTGCTGCGTGTTGGACCAGCGTCTCCTGGCTGGCCAGAGGCACGCAGCTGGACGCAGGCCGAAAGCTCTGCAAAGGGAGGCTGTAGCACAGCCCGTGCTGAGGAGGAGAGGGCAGGAACCTGCCTGGGGGGCAAGTGGCCCTGGAGGGCAAGTGGCCCCGGAGGGCACCTGGCCCCAACAGGCAGCACCCGCCCCCGGCTCAGGTTCGCACTCGGCCTGAAAGAGGGGCAGAAGGGATCTGCCCACAGAGGGTGGGTGCGGGCTGCGAGGGGTGGTGAGCGTGGATGCTTCTGGGGGAGCAAAGGGACCTTCATGTCCTTCTTGCACCGTCCCAGGGGGCAAAATGGGGGGGACAGCAAGTGCCCCGCAGTCCAGCCGTGTTTGCTCTTCCTGGGTGGGGAGGGCAGGAAGGCACTTGGGCTTATCGCAGCCAGCACCCCAATTCCCACAGCTGCCTGCCCATGCAGAGCCCGAGCGCCATTGTCTTCCACACCTTTCTGTCCGCGGCTCCCGGAGAGCCCTCAGGATCCTGATCCAGCCTGACCACCCTGCCTGCCTGCCTTCCCGGTGAAGCACGCAAGGACAGGCTCCCCTGTGAGATCCTCCCTCCCATCCAGCCTGTTGGCACTCCGGACCCTGGGAAGGCAGGAAACGCTGCTTTCTGACAGTGTCCCTTATGCATTTTTCACCACTTCACCTGTTTATCTCCACACTGCAAGGTCTTCTGGACGCCAAGTATATATCCCGTATGTCTAGGCTGAAGTTAGTTTTCTCTGGAGCTCCATGGAACTCCCTGGAACATGTGCCGTAAGGAAGTGTGTTGTCTGGTTTCCATGGGCAAATGCCTGCTACTCAAAACTGCTACAAACAGGTGACACAGCTGATTGCAGAATTTCATAGAAACTCAGGGCATGAAGTGCTTGTGCTCACAAAACGGTTAAAACACACTCTTCTTTCCATCTTGTTCTACTAACCCATTCAGAAGTGTTTTCCAGTGGAGACAAGGAGAGAGACGCATCCAACTCCCATTGTCTTTAAGCCTCAGAGACAATACATAGCACATAAACACATTGCTAGGCCACCTGGGAAATCACCTTAGTGTCAGCACAAACTTCTTGTCACGGATGTGAATGACGCTGATACTAATACTGATACCAGGGGGAATTTATAAAATAAGCAGGTGTTCCTGACTAGCAATCGGTGCCCCAAAGGCAAGAAAGTCACCTGCTGCAATGCCAGGAGAATTAGAGTACTTTCACTCTATTAAGGAAATCAAAGGTTAAAAAAAGCACTCCACACCTGGAAATCTGAAAATAAGCCAAGGGTAACCTCACAGTGTTTTGGTTCTCTCCCCACCCCTGTTTGAGGTGTGTGGCACACGATAACCTGGCATGAGCAAGAGATACCGGAGAGCGTGTCCTTAAATTTGACCCATACTGAGCTGTGTTAAACAACTGCACTAGAATTTCTGCCTATAAAATTAATTTTCAAATTTTTCAAGGGTGAGGATCTCTCTGACCGTTTATCCATTTATTTCCAACAAGGATTTGTGTTCTCCTTTTCTTCGTAGCCGTATTCCCTGTTTGTTTAATCACAAGGTATTTTTTTCTAGCTGTGGGGCAAGACTGCAGTGGAGGAGGGGAGGACGGATGCTGCCGCTGAGATTTCCCAAGTCCAGGCCTTGCCGCTGCTTACAACCTCTCTGCTTAGGGCCGTGTTGGCTCAGTGGCTTCCAGTCCTCTCCGCACGCTGGTCCCCACCCTACGTGACGTGAGAAGAGCAGCACTCTTTCTCACACGTGGTGGTGGCAGGAGGAAGCCGGCATCTCCAAACGAGAGGGGTGGTTTCCACGCTGCAGGGCACGGCGGGACCGGGCAGTGAACAACGGGGCTGTGGGCGCAGGCAAGCCTTGGCAGAGCAGAGGGACGCCGAGGGGGCACATCCAGACCTACTGTAAATGGCACCAGGCATTTTCAGAGACTTCAAGGCATGTGAAGGGAGAGAAAATGGATGCAAAGGCAGAAAGGAAAAGAATGCAGAGAGGGAAAGGGATCAGCAATGGCTCACAGTTGCAGATTCCATGTTTTGGACAAAAGGGGATCCTGCAGCTGTGGAGAGAATTCTCAGGGGCGACATGGGAAAGTGGGAGAGGAGAAAGTCCCATATTTGCTGGGGCAAGACAGAGGAAGAGCTAGAGGTAGCGACTGGGAAAAGCCCTCTGTGTTACACCTTTTGCGTATAAAGAAATGAAATGGGGCGGTTTGGGTCTCTCTGAAAGGGGGACCCTTGTTTCTTGATCCTGATCGCAGGTTAGCAATCCCAGCCGCAGTGACACGTTTTCAGAATCAGCGTAACACCAGCACGAGCTGAGGTTTCATTCCCGACAAGCTGCCGTCGAGGTAGATTTGTAGAAGCCTTTGTGCGTGTGCCTGCCAACGGGAGAAGGGCTACATTGATTATGGACGTGAGAGTGGACAAGGCAAGAGATGCGGTGTGTTCCCCCTACGCGCGGGCGGTGCGAGCCTGCTGAGGGTCCTTGGCTGGACAGGGCGGGTGGGGGTCACAGGTGAAGGCTGGAGCCTTCTTCTGCTGTGGCCGAAGGGGAGAGCTGCAGGCCGGGTGGTGACGGCTGCCCGTGGCCAGCGAAGGCAGAGGAGCAGAGGTCGTCATCTGTCCTCGTCTTGGGGGAGGAACTGTCTGTTGTTGTGCTGCCTTTGCTCACAGCCCGGGGGGCTTCACCAAGTACCGGCTGCTGGCCCTGCACAGCCAGACCCTGACATCATTGCCAGCAGACGTGTAAATGCCTTGCAGAAGAGGAACTCTTAACTGCTAACAACCCCCGCTGTGGCCTGTGCCGCAGCACAACAGCAGCACTGGGGAGTCACTTGGGCCACTTGCAGAAGCCCCATCAGGCTCGTTATCACTGAACCAGGGACTCCTTAACGATGCCTCGCGCGGTTCCCCTCTGGGTGCCACAGGACCGTCCCCTGTGCCGTTTGGGCAGGCAGAGCCTCGGCCCACAGCTCTGTTACCCACAGTCCTGAGTAGGGCTGTGTGACCCTCGTACTCGGTTCAGGCTCGCGTCCGTGGGAGGTCGTGCGCAGCCACTGCTGCTGCTGCTGCTGCTGCTGCTGCAGCACTTGTTGCCCGATCTCCGTCAGATGAGTTTGGGATTTCACTCTTTACTTCGCCCAGGCTCAGTTCCCTTCTCAGCCACTTCCTCCTGCAGTCTTCTGTCCACTTCTCAGCGTACAGCTGCTCTTCCCTTTCCTGTTGTGCTCTTCAGCTGTGCTTCCCTTGCTCTCTTAGGGAAGAAGTGACTCCTGTCAGATACCCACCGCAAAATCCCTCCCAGAACCCTCAACAACAAACCCCAAACCCTAGAGGTTGTCCCCAAAGACCAAAACAAGCAGATATTGCTGCTCACAAAAATGCGGTCAACTATGGGGAGGTGCGGACGGGGAAAAAGCACCTGGTTGCGCAGCATACCAAAAGTTAGCTGCCATTTAGATGCTTAGATGCCCTTGTGGACCCGTCCTTTCCTGCGCTGTGGAAGGTGGAGCTCCTCCAGTCCTGGCCTCTGATGGCAATCATACCCTGTGATTTGAAGGAAGGTCTGGAAAGAAAGGCACCCATACCTTATGCGCTTGGCTTGGGTCAGCCATCGCGAGTCCAGGGGAACCTAGCAGTGGGTAGAGCACATTTTCTGGCCAAATGGGAGACCTATTGTCACGGACTCAAGCTCAGGAGGGCTTAAGCTCACAGATAATTTCAAAAGCAAAATGCCATGAAAGATAAACTTCCTGGTGGAGATCCCTGTCGTTTACGCTAATTGGAAAGAAATGGGTAAAATCTTGAGGGATGCTTGGAGTTGTTGGTAAAAGTGCATGCTCAGAGCAAGTTATTCTAACGTGGTTTGGGATGCGTTCAGAAAGGGTGATTTTAACAGGGCTTAGATTGCGTACATACAGGAAGGGCGAACATGAGATTCAAACAGCACCATTCTCAGATGGGAAAGAGGTACTTACACAAGCACCGTGTGACTTGGTCTTTGCTTTTAATGTTGCTGAATACGACCACGGAAGAAGCTCTTGAGGGAGGGAAGTGGAAGTAAGTCTTGGGCACGAGCAGAAAAAGCCCCAGCTCCTGCGCAAGATGTTGGATCCTCTTCCTGCAGCTATATACTGCTCCCTCAAGCTCTAATAGGGGTGTGTGCAGCCAGCCCAACCTTCAGCTGTGATGGTGTTTTGCTGGGGAGGTGTAACTAGGGCGTATGTTTTCACATAGAGGGAAATCAGCGACACATCACCTCCCTGGCTGCACTTAACTACAGCTTTGTCTCTCTCCCACCAAGGCAATTGGCTCAAGTCACAACAGCAAGTCACAGTCACTGTTGTCCTTTACTCTGGCCATGCTTCAGGTTTATTGACTGTAACCCACCGAAACAGACTGTAGAGAAGGGTATAAGAGAGCCCGTCTGTTTCCCTGCCTCCAGAGAACCAGTACTCTCCAGACAGACAAGGTGTTCCTCCATCTCGCACCAACTGGCCAAGAGGAGGAGAGTCACAAGCCCAGCTGTGCTCTCCAACAGTCTCAACTTGAATGGAGCATAAATGGACCCGGAGCTAACAGCCACCAGCTCGAGGACCCAGGGGCATGCCACGTCATGGGTCTGATGAAACTCCAGGAGCTTTGTTCCCAGAGGAGAGGCCGTCGTCAGCTCACGCTTCATTGAATGGCTCTGCACCCACCTGGGTCGTAAAGACAAGACCCTTCCTCTTCTTCCCTCTGCGGGGTGGTATAAAGTGAGGAACCGGATAATGTTCTTCTGGATCGCACTGGTAGTCCCAGGGCCTGGCAAGAACGATGCAGCCGTGCGTCAGGAGGCACCCTGCTTCAGAAATGGGGTGCTGGGCCGGGAGACCCCAGAGGTCTCTTCCAATCTAACTTCTTCTATGAGGCTGTGTGTGCAAGAATTATCTCTGACTCTGAACTGAAAGCCAACATGGGGGTATGAAAGGATAATGAAGGCAGTGAAGCTCTCTTACAGACCCAGTTATCCAAATGTTGTAGGTACCGTGCTTTTCATGCTGAAATCAGGAATGATATCCTTCAGGGGATGGATATCTTTTAGGGAATGGATACTTCTTCATTCCCACCTCTTTTTCACTTTTAAAACTCTGTCAGAATTTTATAGATTATAGTTTTGTTTATGGCATGGGTGCCTTGGAAAAGGAAATTTGGGCCCTTCAGTCATCTCAGTGTTCCAGAAACAGCAACAATCATAGAATCACAGAATCCCAGGTTAGAAGGGACCTCGGGAGTCATCTTGGTCCAATCTTTCTTGGCAAAACCACGGTGTAGACAAGATGGCCCAGCACCGTGGCCAGCTGAATCTTCACAGTTTCCAACATCGGGGAATCCTCCACTTCCCTGAGGAGATTATTCTGGTGGCTGATTGTTCTCATTGTGGCAAATTTTCCTCTTGTGTTCAACTGGAACGTCAGCAGGAGTAGCTTGTACCCATTACCTCTCGTCTTTTTCGTGTGACTCTTTGTAAAAAGGGTGTCTCTATCTCTTTTTTTAGCCACCCTTTAAATACTGGTACACGGTGATAAGGTCTCCCCTAATCCTTCTTTTCTCAAGGCTGAATAAACCCAATTTCAGCTTTTCCTCACATGTCAGGTTTTCCAGTGCCTTGACATCTTCCTGGTCTTTCTCTGGACCCTCTCCAGCCTGTCCACATCTTTTTTGTATAACAGGGAGTAGAACTGAACACAGTATTCCTGGTGCGACCTGACAAGCACTGAGTAGATTTTGATAATGCATTATTTATCTCTGCTGGTGATCCCCTTGGTCATGTAACCCAGCACCCTGTTGACTTTCTTTGCTGCTGCAGCACATTGTTCACTTATATGAAGGTTGTTGTCCACCAGGACCCCCAGATCCCTTTCCACAGAGCTGATCCCCATCCAGGTAGATCCCAGTCTGTGCTGCACTCCTGGATTATGTTTTCCCAGGTGAAGGACCTTACACTTTTCCTTGTTGACTTCATAACGTTCTTGCTAGCCCATTTTCCAGCCTACCCTGTTCTTCCTGCAGGGTGGTTCTCCCTTCCGAAGCATCCACTTACCCACTCAGTTTGGTACCATCAGCAAACTTCATCAGGGTACACTTGATCCCATCATCTAGATCACTTATGTAGATATTAAACAGCATTGGGCTCAAGATTGATCCCTGGGGACCCCACTTGTGACAGGTTGCCAGTTTGAAAAGGACCTCTTTACCTCTACCCTCTGCAGCTGGCCCATCAGCCAGTTCCCCACCCATCACAATGACCACCTGTCTAGACCATAATGTACCAGTTTTTCTGGGAAGAGGCTGTGGGGAACTGTATTGAAAGCCTTGGAGAAATCCAGGTAGAAAATATCTACCACTCACCCCACATCAACCAAGCAGCTTACTTTGTTGTTGAAGATGGTGAGTTTTGTCAGGCATGATTTGCTCTTGGTGGCTGGATTTTCACAATCACATGCTTCATTTGACTTGTGACAGCCCTCAGGAGGAGTCGTTCCCTAACTTTTCCAGGGATTGAAGTAAGACTGATCGGTCTATTATTTGCTGGATCCTCCCTTAAGCCCTTCTTGTAGATGGGGGTGATGTTAGCCTTTTTCTAGACTTCTGGGAGTCCCCGATCTCCACAATTTCTAAAAGATTATGGAGAATGGCCTCACAATGACGTCATCCAGCTCTCCTAACACCCTTGGGTGGATAACATAAGGGCCCATCAATTTGTAGGGGTCAAGCTCCTGTCATAGTCTTGTCATAATCCTGTAATTGACTTGGAATTTTGTTCTCCAGTCCTGAGGAGCAACAGTGCTGGTAAAGACAGAGGTGAAGAAAGTGTTGAGAACCTCTGCCATTTCAGCACTGTTGATGACTAATTCACCTCTCCTGTTTAATATCAGGCCAATATTTTCCTTCTGTTTCTTCTTGTTGTTTAAATCCCTGAAGAACCCTTTCTTACAGTTTTTGATATCTCTGGCCAATTTCAATTTGAACTGAGATTTTACTTTTCTAACTGCATCTCTGCATGCCCTGGCAATACCTTTGTAGTTCTCAACAGGTATTTTTCCACTTTTCAATCTTTGGTACGCTTCTCTTTTTGTTCTGAGCAGACTCAGAAGCTCGCAGTTAAGACAGGGACATCTCTTGCTCCACCTACTTCCCTCACCTGTAAAAGGGATGAAGTGAATTCATGCTTCCAGGAGAGTGTTCTTGAAAAACTCCCAGCACTTGCTAGTTCCTTTATCCTCCATGGACACTTCCCAAAGAATCCCTCCCAACTGAGCTCTGAGACAGCTGAAGTTTGCTCTTCTAAAATCTAAAATATTTGTCTTAGTATTAATCTTCAGCTACAATGAGTGTCTAGCTTTATAACTGTACCTGTGAATGTTGTGGTTTGATTTTCAGGTGCTCTTTCTGTTTTTCAGTTCTGTTCTGATGTTCGGTAGAAAAAGCTGAACTTCTGTAGGATTCAAGTAGGAATAGACTAATGTGTCTATCTGGTTTATTGATGCTCAGGGTTACAACATCAGCAGTAGATGAACAAGTGTTCAAACCAGATAGTAAGTGGCTAACCGATTTCTGACATTTAGTGTGTTCACATTAGGGAACACAGCCAAGACTGTCTCCTGTTGCTGAAGGGGGTGCCAGCTTTCCCATTTATCTTCTTTTGAAAGAGGACAGCTGTCTCAACTGTTACATACTTCACATGAAGTTTTCAACAACACGTACCTTGCAGTCAACCTCCTGAATGAACATATCAAGCACTTTCAAAAGCTTGCTTGGGATGAGGGGTAGGGAGATTTTTTCATCCTCCTCCAAACCTTTGCCAAGTAAAAAGATCCAGAGGAATTGTGTGTTGAATGTAGTCCATTATTTTGAAAACCCCATCCCAGTTAGCAGCCTCATTTCCTCAAGGAATGATCCTGCAGGCAATTAATTCCATGAAAGGTGATAGACAGGTGGAATATATGGCACTTTTTAACCAATAGACGTCCTAGTTATATGTGTCAACAGAGACACCAGGGAAGATTTTCTAAAGCATAATTGTCAGCAAATAGAGCTGCAGGAAGGAAGATGTTTGAAATGTGGGTAAATGGGAAAGCACTAAAAGCCTACACCCTGAGTCAGGGTCAATGCAAGAGCTACACTGCAGTGTGCAGATACCTCAGCTAGCCCAGTCCAAGGAACTGCTGTGGGTAATAGCCTGTCAAAACCACACAAAGTTAGTTTGTGCACTGCAGTGGTCACCATGTTCTCTTCCTGCATGAGAGGTGTCAAGCCCAAAAGTGTGCAGAAGCAAACTCCTTCACAGGCTTGTTCACTCTCCTGAGAAACAAAGCCCATTAGCATCGTGTTTTCTCTCTTTTTCTTTCTAATAAATGAGTTGAATCTCTAGCATCCTAAGGATATAGGAAATATAAATATGATAGGGAAGAATAATATCTTATTAGATCAACTGATATACTCAGAAAAAAAAATACACAGTAGTTTATTCTGACTGCTAGTTAGAATCAAGAAAACAAACTATTTTTTCCAGCTAGGTCAATAGTTCTGGTAAAACATACTACTTGCCTAGGATGGCTGCATATGAAGAAGAGTACTTAGTTATCTCTAAAAAAAGAAATGAAAAACAGTCATTTTGTGTTATGATAGTCATTAGACTGTGCAAAGAAACAGAGACAAATGCATTTGAATCACCTCTTGTGTTATGTTTTAACCACTTAAAATTCTGGGGGAAATCCCAAAGAGATCAAGAAGAAAGAACAGAAAGACAGGAGACAGGTGAAAGCCTAGAACATGAACTACATGGAATTAAAGACCCTTTTCCTTTTCTGAAGCTTCAGCAAGGCTTCCTTCACCTGTTTGTTCCTCAGACTGTAAATCAGGGGGTTCAGACTGGGGCTGACGAGACTGTAGAATAGGGAAAGAACTTTCTCCCTCCCAGATGAGTTACTTCTCCCAGGCCCCATATACATGAAGATGGCATTGCCATAAAACAGACCCACCACGGTCAAGTGGGAGCCACAGGTGGAGAAGGTTTTGTGCCATCCTGGCACAGAGCGGATGCGCAGAATGGTGGCCAGGATGTGCAGATAGGAAATTAGGATTAAGGCTAAAGGGAAGAGGAGGAAACATACACAAACAGCAAAGATCAGGGCTTTATTAACAGTAGTGTCAGTGCAGGCCAGCTTTAAGACAGCAAGGATTTCACAGAAGAAGTGGTCAACCTCACAGGGGCCACAGAAAGGCAGGTGTAGAGCCAGAGAGGCTTGTAGTGTACCAAATATGAACCCAAAAGCCCACGAAACTGCGGCAAGAGTGAGGCACACCCTCCAGTTCATGATGAGGGTATAGCGGAGAGGATGGCAGATTGCTACATAGCGATCATAAGACATCACGGCCAGCAGCACGCACTCTGTAAGTGCAAAGATTAAATAAAGATGTATCTGTGTCCCACACCCAGCAAAGGAGATGGTTCTGCCTTGTCCAAGGAGATTCCTCAGCATATGGGGGACATTGTTGGAGGCGTAGCAGATGTCCACAATGGAGAGGTGGCAGAGGAAGAAGTACATGGGGCTGTGGAGGTGGTAGTCCAGGCAGATAAGCACAAAGACAAGTGCGTTTCCCATCAGAGTCGCAGAGTAGAGGACAGAGAAAAGGCCAAAGAGGCAGGTCTGCAGAGCTGGGTTGCTGGAGAACCCCAGGAGGATGAATTCTGTGACAGCTGTTTCATTCTGCATGTTGTGCTGGAGGTGAGGCAGTACAAAGTGTGACCATGGAGACCTGGAAGGGAAGGAGCAAGGAAAAGGAAAGAAAATGGAGAGTTTTCCTAAGAATGTTGAGTCTTTTACTCTTAACACTGCAGCTCACTTATTCCTGTTTTTGCCTCTGACTCCAATGGAAGGTGCATACTACCCTCATCATCCTGAGCAATATAGATCTGAATTGCAACCTCTAACCTCTGTACAAACTTGGAGCAGTTTTGAGTAATCTCACACAACTTTACTGTCTAGCTTGCATTTGATGTCTTTCTTTTTCTGGGTTGGGTTTTTTGGGGGGAGTGGGTTTTCTCTGTTGGAGAAAGTAACATCTCTCTATCATGATGAAGATTGCGAGTGAAGTCAGAACATCTTCAGAGTAATTATTTTAAAATAAATCCATATTAAAATGAATGCACCATTCACAGAATAATTCCTGTTTTACCATTAAACCAACTAGAATTTCTAATCCATTGCTCTGTCCTCTTTACCTTAGTGAAATGCATTCATTTTGAATCCTGCAGTTGCTTGATCTGTGTTCTATATCTAACCACTTCAGTTTGCTGAAAAAACTGAGAGCTTCACTTGGATCTACAGCAGATAATTATTGCTAGAAGATGTTACTAACATTTATACACAAGAGCTTTCTTACCTGTAGCATCTGGACAAATGTGATTTGTTCAGCTCCGTGTTTTTGATCAGGGAAACCTTATTAGAGAGTTCTGTGTACTTTCTCAGACAACAGGTGAAACAAAGAGCTGTTCCACTGTGTTCATCTCCTTACATTACTTTGTTTTTAAAGCCAAAACTTTCTGTGTAATGTGTCTGAAGGGACACTGTTTTGATTTCCAACAAGCAGTACAAAAGTTAGTCTCAAGTATAAATCCCCAGAGTTCAGGTATGGAACTCTGGGGATCCTTCCAGAAAGTAAACACCACTTCATTCTGAAATGGGCATGGCACTGTACTTACTGGCCCTTCATTCATACAGGTTTCTTTTCTGTTAAACACTGTCTCCTCTTTTACTTTCCCCTCTATGCCTTCACTGCCTCCCAGAATTTCTCTGCCTGCAACAACATAAAATGATTTTTGTTTCTGAAATACTAGCATAGAATAAATCCTACTTCCATGGCCATTTCACAGAATTGATTAATTTCCTTCTCTCCACAGAAAGGCAGTGTGAATATAAATTAGTGTCTATCAGGGACAATGTATTGCCAGTCACTGTTGTAAAGGCCACACTGACTACAGACTCTGTCATTCATGAGGACTTTGTCATGTAAAGATTTACACAGAGCCATGCATCTGTCATACCCTATTGCTGTTAGAAGGATACAGTTATTGCCTTGAAAGCCCATGAAGTAAAACATCTGAACAGCACATCCAGTCAAAGAATTAGGCTTTTCTTCTGTTATTAGATTTACCAACACCTTGGGAATGACAGCAAGTGTATAGCAAGTTTCTGAAAAATAGAGAATGGAAAGGAAGAAATACATGGGGATGTGAAGATGATGATGAAGCCTGATAATTGTCATTAGAAGGACATTTCCAATGAGGGTGACCAGGTATGTCAGGAAAAAAAAAGACAAATAATGGAATCTGCAGATCTGAAAAATCTGCAAATCCAATCAAGATGAACTCCATTACTTTGGTTTCATTCATCATGAAGTTTCTGATCTAGAAAGAAGTCATTGACATAAAGAAATCTGACATGAACAGTAAGAAGAGTAACAAAACCACTTCCCCTTCACAATCCCCAAATCACAGCATAACAGCGGGCAGTAGTCATCTGACACAAATGGACAGTATTTCTACAGTGAAGAAATAATAACAGTAAGCAAGAGATCTTTGTTTCCTTTTAAGTTCCCTGTTTCTTTGCAAACTCTCCTTGCAGTTTAGGAATATTATTAAATGTAGTAGTATAAAACATTTCTTTGCTGTTCCTTCAGTGTGAAGTAAGATGGTAAGAAACCAAGTTCAATATCTTACTCCGAAGTCATAGTAGCAGCTCAGCCTAACAGTACTGACCATACAGGGTAAAAATCACTTGGGGTATTTCTGAGGCTGAATTCCCAATGGCTTATCTTACTACACAGTGAATCTTGGTATTCTGGTACTAGAGGGTCTAGAAATGCCACAGTATTCAAAAACAGACAGTTCAAATACGGGGGAAGGAAAAGATGATTTTATGCTTGGACAAAATCTTCACTGTTCATCTAACATTGCAAAATAAAATCCAGCAAGCCTTTCAGTATAGGAGCCATTTCTTTCTACGGTTCACTATTCAAAAGCTAGTAATGTTGTGTAAAACAAGCCACTGATTCATTCAGTTTCAGTATTAGTGCCATTAGTGCCATATATTTACCCATTTAAACATATTTTAATTTTTTAAGTAAAACCTCATTATAATTAACAGCTTAATCAAAATGCAGACTGAACTATAAGGAAAGGCAAAACTAGGGAACTGTTTCTTTCAAACCAAAAGTGGTATAAAAGAGAGAAACAGGGCTAAATCCTTCATCACTGCCACTAGTCACATTGCTCTAGAAATCACTGGGAACTTCATAGTTCTCAGGACCCAGTGGTTCATCTTACCTACATGTGTATCATCAGCAACTGAATGCTGACTGCAGAAGCTGCTGGAATTTCTTACCTAAAGAAACATAGCTTTGATGACAACTCTAAAATCACAATTGATGCAAACTTTGCTCAGTCTTGCCATTAATATCTTTCCTGAGATGTCAGTAGCAGTCTTTCCTATCTCACTGACAAGGACTGGAAAAAAAGTGGGATAGACATCATAACTACATTCCTATTAGGAGAAAAACTATCTGTTAGAAATGCAGGGTATAGAACAAATCTTCTGAATACCTGCAACTCAAACAAGCCACACCTTTATATATTCTGTGAGACCTCTGGGGTCTTTGTGGTAAATCAAAACCTAGGACTAATTGGTTACAGTATCATCAATGAGACATAATAAAGTACTATGAATGTCAGTTTTAATTCATAAATCAAAGCAAAAAAAAAAATGAAGGAAAGATTCAATGAAATTATAATTAAAAGCTCTTTTCCCTAAAAAAGGGGAAGTTTTGTTCAAAATTGTAAAAAGTGCCTTTTTTAATATTATGACTGTAAAACTGCTTCATTTTCAGGTGGGGGCTGAGGAAGTTTTCTTCTGCACAATCTAATGCATAAATCCAAATAAATGCATATTTTTCATGAAGGCATTAACAATTCTTTGGAATTATTTGTAAATAGCAAAGTACATTAACATGGTAAATTCTTGTTACTGCAATTGAAGTTGTGAGTCATGAGACAAACCTCTGGGCCAGGAAATCAATGAGTCAACCAAACACAATATGCCATTATGACATCAAATGGAAACCTGTGAGTTAACTCTACTGGAATTGTCATTGAAAAGCTCAGAATATAGAGAAATGTCATCTCTCAGACCTTGTTATTTAGATTTGTTTGATAGTTCATAATATCAGCCTTCCCTGTAAGTTTAGATCTGGTTTCATTAGTAACTTCTTGGTTAAATTTTTAACAAACTACATCTTTCCCTATTTTTCATGTTCTAATTTTCCATAGTCCAAAATTGAACAGACTGAAATGGGAAAAAAAAAAAAAAAAAAAGCATAAAATGTTCAGCATTGTTCTCTGGGATAATATAATTAAAAAGCAAGAAATATAAGAATATGCATTACTTCAGAGCTCCTACAGCTGGGGATTATTCCACAGGCCTTAGTAGCACAAAGTGGAGAGGCACTAAGAAAGATTTTGGAACCGAGAAGGTGATATAGCAATAGGGAATAGCAAAAGACAATAGAGAAACGAAATCTATAGTGCTCCAAGTAGAGTATTAAGTGGATCAAGGATTTCTAAGAGGCTGGAAGTGAAAACAAATCTTTATGAGCTTAAGTGGAAACAAGACTCGGTCTCCAGCCCTGCAACAAGGTATGCAAGGGGTTAAAAGCACTCCCATGATAAAAAGCATGGGTTTTTAGTGCTTTCCCATTTACCCACATTTCAAACATCTTCCTTCCTGCAGCTCTATTTGCTGACAATTATGCTTTAGAAAATCTTCCCTGGTGTCTCTGTTGACACATATAACTAGGACGTCTATTGGTTAAAAAGTGCCATATATTCCACCTGTCTATCACCTTTCATGGAATTAATTGCCTGCAGGATCATTCCTTGAGGAAATGAGGCTGCTAACTGGGATGGGGTTTTCAAAATAATGGACTACATTCAACACACAATTCCTCTGGATCTTTTTACTTGGCAAAGGTTTGGAGGAGGATGAAAAAATCTCCCTACCCCTCATCCCAAGCAAGCTTTTGAAAGTGCTTGATATGTTCATTCAGGAGGTTGACTGCAAGGTACGTGTTGTTGAAAACTTCATGTGAAGTATGTAACAGTTGAGACAGCTGTCCTCTTTCAAAAGAAGATAAATGGGAAAGCTGGCACCCCCTTCAGCAACAGGAGACAGTCTTGGCTGTGTTCCCTAATGTGAACACACTAAATGTCAGAAATCGGTTAGCCACTTACTATCTGGTTTGAACACTTGTTCATCTACTGCTGATGTTGTAACCCTGAGCATCAATAAACCAGATAGACACATTAGTCTATTCCTACTTGAATCCTACAGAAGTTCAGCTTTTTCTACCGAACATCAGAACAGAACTGAAAAACAGAAAGAGCACCTGAAAATCAAACCACAACATTCACAGGTACAGTTATAAAGCTAGACACTCATTGTAGCTGAAGATTAATACTAAGACAAATATTTTAGATTTTAGAAGAGCAAACTTCAGCTGTCTCAGAGCTCAGTTGGGAGGGATTCTTTGGGAAGTGTCCATGGAGGATAAAGGAACTAGCAAGTGCTGGGAGTTTTTCAAGAACACTCTCCTGGAAGCATGAATTCACTTCATCCCTTTTACAGGTGAGGGAAGTAGGTGGAGCAAGAGATGTCCCTGTCTTAACTGCGAGCTTCTGAGTCTGCTCAGAACAAAAAGAGAAGCGTACCAAAGATTGAAAAGTGGAAAAATACCTGTTGAGAACTACAAAGGTATTGCCAGGGCATGCAGAGATGCAGTTAGAAAAGTAAAATCTCAGTTCAAATTGAAATTGGCCAGAGATATCAAAAACTGTAAGAAAGGGTTCTTCAGGGATTTAAACAACAAGAAGAAACAGAAGGAAAATATTGGCCTGATATTAAACAGGAGAGGTGAATTAGTCATCAACAGTGCTGAAATGGCAGAGGTTCTCAACACTTTCTTCACCTCTGTCTTTACCAGCACTGTTGCTCCTCAGGACTGGAGAACAAAATTCCAAGTCAATTACAGGATTATGACAAGACTATGACAGGAGCTTGACCCCTACAAATTGATGGGCCCTTATGTTATCCACCCAAGGGTGTTAGGAGAGCTGGATGACGTCATTGTGAGGCCATTCTCCATAATCTTTTAGAAATTGTGGAGATCGGGGACTCCCAGAAGTCTAGAAAAAGGCTAACATCACCCCCATCTACAAGAAGGGCTTAAGGGAGGATCCAGCAAATAATAGACCGATCAGTCTTACTTCAATCCCTGGAAAAGTTAGGGAACGACTCCTCCTGAGGGCTGTCACAAGTCAAATGAAGCATGTGATTGTGAAAATCCAGCCACCAAGAGCAAATCATGCCTGACAAAACTCACCATCTTCAACAACAAAGTAAGCTGCTTGGTTGATGTGGGGTGAGTGGTAGATATTTTCTACCTGGATTTCTCCAAGGCTTTCAATACAGTTCCCCACAGCCTCTTCCCAGAAAAACTGGTACATTATGGTCTAGACAGGTGGTCATTGTGATGGGTGGGGAACTGGCTGATGGGCCAGCTGCAGAGGGTAGAGGTAAAGAGGTCCTTTTCAAACTGGCAACCTGTCACAAGTGGGGTCCCCAGGGATCAATCTTGAGCCCAATGCTGTTTAATATCTACATAAGTGATCTAGATGATGGGATCAAGTGTACCCTGATGAAGTTTGCTGATGGTACCAAACTGAGTGGGTAAGTGGATGCTTCGGAAGGGAGAACCACCCTGCAGGAAGAACAGGGTAGGCTGGAAAATGGGCTAGCAAGAACGTTATGAAGTCAACAAGGAAAAGTGTAAGGTCCTTCACCTGGGAAAACATAATCCAGGAGTGCAGCACAGACTGGGATCTACCTGGATGGGGATCAGCTCTGTGGAAAGGGATCTGGGGGTCCTGGTGGACAACAACCTTCATATAAGTGAACAATGTGCTGCAGCAGCAAAGAAAGTCAACAGGGTGCTGGGTTACATGACCAAGGGGATCACCAGCAGAGATAAATAATGCATTATCAAAATCTACTCAGTGCTTGTCAGGTCGCACCAGGAATACTGTGTTCAGTTCTACTCCCTGTTATACAAAAAAGATGTGGACAGGCTGGAGAGGGTCCAGAGAAAGACCAGGAAGATGTCAAGGCACTGGAAAACCTGACATGTGAGGAAAAGCTGAAATTGGGTTTATTCAGCCTTGAGAAAAGAAGGATTAGGGGAGACCTTATCACCGTGTACCAGTATTTAAAGGGTGGCTAAAAAAAGAGATAGAGACACCCTTTTTACAAAGAGTCACACGAAAAAGACGAGAGGTAATGGGTACAAGCTACTCCTGCTGACGTTCCAGTTGAACACAAGAGGAAAATTTGCCACAATGAGAACAATCAGCCACCAGAATAATCTCCTCAGGGAAGTGGAGGATTCCCCGATGTTGGAAACTGTGAAGATTCAGCTGGCCACGGTGCTGGGCCATCTTGTCTACACCGTGGTTTTGCCAAGAAAGATTGGACCAAGATGACTCCCGAGGTCCCTTCTAACCTGGGATTCTGTGATTCTATGATTGTTGCTGTTTCTGGAACACTGAGATGACTGAAGGGCCCAAATTTCCTTTTCCAAGGCACCCATGCCATAAACAAAACTATAATCTATAAAATTCTGACAGAGTTTTAAAAGTGAAAAAGAGGTGGGAATGAAGAAGTATCCATTCCCTAAAAGATATCCATCCCCTGAAGGATATCATTCCTGATTTCAGCATGAAAAGCACGGTACCTACAACATTTGGATAACTGGGTCTGTAAGAGAGCTTCACTGCCTTCATTATCCTTTCATACCCCCATGTTGGCTTTCAGTTCAGAGTCAGAGATAATTCTTGCACACACAGCCTCATAGAAGAAGTTAGATTGGAAGAGACCTCTGGGGTCTCCCGGCCCAGCACCCCATTTCTGAAGCAGGGTGCCTCCTGACGCACGGCTGCATCGTTCTTGCCAGGCCCTGGGACTACCAGTGCGATCCAGAAGAACATTATCCGGTTCCTCACTTTATACCACCCCGCAGAGGGAAGAAGAGGAAGGGTCTTGTCTTTACGACCCAGGTGGGTGCAGAGCCATTCAATGAAGCGTGAGCTGACGACGGCCTCTCCTCTGGGAACAAAGCTCCTGGAGTTTCATCAGACCCATGACGTGGCATGCCCCTGGGTCCTCGAGCTGGTGGCTGTTAGCTCCGGGTCCATTTATGCTCCATTCAAGTTGAGACTGTTGGAGAGCACAGCTGGGCTTGTGACTCTCCTCCTCTTGGCCAGTTGGTGCGAGATGGAGGAACACCTTGTCTGTCTGGAGAGTACTGGTTCTCTGGAGGCAGGGAAACAGACGGGCTCTCTTATACCCTTCTCTACAGTCTGTTTCGGTGGGTTACAGTCAATAAACCTGAAGCATGGCCAGAGTAAAGGACAACAGTGACTGTGACTTGCTGTTGTGACTTGAGCCAATTGCCTTGGTGGGAGAGAGACAAAGCTGTAGTTAAGTGCAGCCAGGGAGGTGATGTGTCGCTGATTTCCCTCTATGTGAAAACATACGCCCTAGTTACACCCCCCCAGCAAAACACCATCACAGCTGAAGGTTGGGCTGGCTGCACACACCCCTATTAGAGCTTGAGGGAGCAGTATATAGCTGCAGGAAGAGGATCCAACATCTTGCGCAGGAGCTGGGGCTTTTTCTGCTCGTGCCCAAGACTTACTTCCACTTCCCTCCCTCAAGAGCTTCTTCCGTGGTCGTATTCAGCAACATTAAAAGCAAAGACCAAGTCACACGGTGCTTGTGTAAGTACCTCTTTCCCATCTGAGAATGGTGCTGTTTGAATCTCATGTTCGCCCTTCCTGTATGTACGCAATCTAAGCCCTGTTAAAATCACCCTTTCTGAACGCATCCCAAACCACGTTAGAATAACTTGCTCTGAGCATGCACTTTTACCAACAACTCCAAGCATCCCTCAAGATTTTACCCATTTCTTTCCAATTAGCGTAAACGACAGGGATCTCCACCAGGAAGTTTATCTTTCATGGCATTTTGCTTTTGAAATTATCTGTGAGCTTAAGCCCTCCTGAGCTTGAGTCCGTGACAATAGGTCTCCCATTTGGCCAGAAAATGTGCTCTACCCACTGCTAGGTTCCCCTGGACTCGCGATGGCTGACCCAAGCCAAGCGCATAAGGTATGGGTGCCTTTCTTTCCAGACCTTCCTTCAAATCACAGGGTATGATTGCCATCAGAGGCCAGGACTGGAGGAGCTCCACCTTCCACAGCGCAGGAAAGGACGGGTCCACAAGGGCATCTAAGCATCTAAATGGCAGCTAACTTTTGGTATGCTGCGCAACCAGGTGCTTTTTCCCCGTCCGCACCTCCCCATAGTTGACCGCATTTTTGTGAGCAGCAATATCTGCTTGTTTTGGTCTTTGGGGACAACCTCTAGGGTTTGGGGTTTGTTGTTGAGGGTTCTGGGAGGGATTTTGCAGTGGGTATCTGACAGGAGTCACTTCTTCCCTAAGAGAGCAAGGGAAGCACAGCTGAAGAGCACAACAGGAAAGGGAAGAGCAGCTGTACGCTGAGAAGTGGACAGAAGACTGCAGGAGGAAGTGGCTGAGAAGGGAACTGAGCCTGGGCGAAGTAAAGAGTGAAATCCCAAACTCATCTGACGGAGATCGGGCAACAAGTGCTGCAGCAGCAGCAGCAGCAGCAGCAGCAGCAGCAGTGGCTGCGCACGACCTCCCACGGACGCGAGCCTGAACCGAGTACGAGGGTCACACAGCCCTACTCAGGGCTGTGGGTAACAGAGCTGTGGGCTGAGGCTCTGCCTGCCCAAACGGCACAGGGGACGCTCCTGTGGCACCCAGAGGGGAACCGCGCGAGGCATCGTTAAGGAGTCCCTGGTTCAGTGATAACGAGCCTGATGGGGCTTCTGCAAGTGGCCCAAGTGACTCCCCAGTGCTGCTGTTGTGCTGCGGCACAGGCCACAGCGGGGGTTGTTAGCAGTTAAGAGTTCCTCTTCTGCAAGGCATTTACACGTCTGCTGGCAATGATGTCAGGGTCTGGCTGTGCAGGGCCAGCAGTCGGTACTTGGTGAAGCCCCCCGGGCTGTGAGCAAAGGCAGCACAACAACAGACAGTTCCTCCCCCAAGACGAGGACAGATGACGACCTCTGCTCCTCTGCCTTCGCTGGCCACGGGCAGCCGTCACCACCCGGCCTGCAGCTCTCCCCTTCGGCCACAGCAGAAGAAGGCTCCAGCCTTCACCTGTGACCCCCACCCGCCCTGTCCAGCCAAGGACCCTCAGCAGGCTCGCACCGCCCGCGCGTAGGGGGAACACACCGCATCTCTTGCCTTGTCCACTCTCACGTCCATAATCAATGTAGCCCTTCTCCCGTTGGCAGGCACACGCACAAAGGCTTCTACAAATCTACCTCGACGGCAGCTTGTCAGGAATGAAACCTCAGCTCGTGCTGGTGTTACGCTGATTCTGAAAACGTGTCACTGCGGCTGGGATTGCTAACCTGCGATCAGGATCAAGAAACAAGGGTCCCCCTTTCAGAGAGACCCAAACCGCCCCATTTCATTTCTTTATACGCAAAAGGTGTAACACAGAGGGCTTTTCCCAGTCGCTACCTCTAGCTCTTCCTCTGTCTTGCCCCAGCAAATATGGGACTTTCTCCTCTCCCACTTTCCCATGTCGCCCCTGAGAATTCTCTCCATAGCTGCAGGATCCCCTTTTGTCCAAAACATGGAATCTGCAACTGTGAGCCATTGCTGATCCCTTTCCCTCTCTGCATTCTTTTCCTTTCTGCCTTTGCATCCATTTTCTCTCCCTTCACATGCCTTGAAGTCTCTGAAAATGCCTGGTGCCATTTACAGTAGGTCTGGATGTGCCCCCTCGGCGTCCCTCTGCTCTGCCAAGGCTTGCCTGCGCCCGCAGCCCCGTTGTTCACTGCCCGGTCCCGCCGTGCCCTGCAGCGTGGAAACCACCCCTCTCGTTTGGAGATGCCGGCTTCCTCCTGCCACCACCACGTGTGAGAAAGAGTGCTGCTCTTCTCACGTCACGTAGGGTGGGGACCAGCGTGCGGAGAGGACTGGAAGCCACTGAGCCAACACGGCCCTAAGCAGAGAGGTTGTAAGCAGCGGCAAGGCCTGGACTTGGGAAATCTCAGCGGCAGCATCCGTCCTCCCCTCCTCCACTGCAGTCTTGCCCCACAGCTAGAAAAAAATACCTTGTGATTAAACAAACAGGGAATACGGCTACGAAGAAAAGGAGAACACAAATCCTTGTTGGAAATAAATGGATAAACGGTCAGAGAGATCCTCACCCTTGAAAAATTTGAAAATTAATTTTATAGGCAGAAATTCTAGTGCAGTTGTTTAACACAGCTCAGTATGGGTCAAATTTAAGGACACGCTCTCCGGTATCTCTTGCTCATGCCAGGTTATCATGTGCCACACACCTCAAACAGGGGTGGGGAGAGAACCAAAACACTGTGAGGTTACCCTTGGCTTATTTTCAGATTTCCAGGTGTGGAGTGCTTTTTTTAACCTTTGATTTCCTTAATAGAGTGAAAGTACTCTAATTCTCCTGGCATTGCAGCAGGTGACTTTCTTGCCTTTGGGGCACCGATTGCTAGTCAGGAACACCTGCTTATTTTATAAATTCCCCCTGGTATCAGTATTAGTATCAGCGTCATTCACATCCGTGACAAGAAGTTTGTGCTGACACTAAGGTGATTTCCCAGGTGTCCTAGCAATGTGTTTATGTGCTATGTATTGTCTCTGAGGCTTAAAGACAATGGGAGTTGGATGCGTCTCTCTCCTTGTCTCCACTGGAAAACACTTCTGAATGGGTTAGTAGAACAAGATGGAAAGAAGAGTGTGTTTTAACCGTTTTGTGAGCACAAGCACTTCATGCCCTGAGTTTCTATGAAATCCTGCAATCAGCTGTGTCACCTGTTTGTAGCAGTTTTGTAGCAGTTTTGAGTAGCAGGCATTTGCCCATGGAAACCAGACAACACACTTCCTTACGGCACATGTTCCAGGGAGTTCCATGGAGCTCCAGAGAAAACTAACTTCAGCCTAGACATACGGGATATATACTTGGCGTCCAGAAGACCTTGCAGTGTGGAGATAACCAGGTGAAGTGGTGAAAAATGCATAAGGGACACTGTCAGAAAGCAGCGTTTCCTGCCTTCCCAGGGTCCGGAGTGCCAACAGGCTGGATGGGAGGGAGGATCTCACAGGGGAGCCTGTCCTTGCGTGCTTCACCGGGAAGGCAGGCAGGCAGGGTGGTCAGGCTGGATCAGGATCCTGAGGGCTCTCTGGGAGCCGCGGACAGAAAGGTGTGGAAGACAATGGCGCTCGGGCTCTGCATGGGCAGGCAGCTGTGGGAATTGGGGTGCTGGCTGCGATAAGCCCAAGTGCCTTCCTGCCCTCCCCACCCAGGAAGAGCAAACACGGCTGGACTGCGGGGCACTTGCTGTCCCACCCATTTTGCCCCCTGGGATGGTGCAAGAAGGACATGAAGGTCCCTTTGCTCCCCCAGAAGCATCCACGCTCACCACCCCTCGCAGCCCGCGCCCACCCTCTGCGGGCAGATCCCTTCTGCCCCTCTTTCAGGCCGAGTGCGAACCTGAGCCGGGGGCGGGTGCTGCCTGTTGGGGCCAGGTGCCCTCCGGGGCCACTTGCCCTCCAGGGCCACTTGCCCCCCAGGCAGGTTCCTGCCCTCTCCTCCTCAGCACGGGCTGTGCTACAGCCTCCCTTTGCAGAGCTTTCGGCCTGCGTCCAGCTGCGTGCCTCTGGCCAGCCAGGAGACGCTGGTCCAACACGCAGCACAAAAGGCCCCGTGTCCCACACGGCATTGCAAAAGCTTTTATTGTACCCTTGGACCGCAGTGCTGGAGCCAGCAAGAGCCTCGCACGCGCGGCAGCCCTCGCCTCACTCGTGTGGGGCAAGAGCTTCTGCTTTTGTCTCACTTGGCAGCAGCAGCGGCTCGGTGGGGCGAACCCCTTTGCCTGGGGAATCTCTTCTTACTCTTGGCCGTGGTCTTTTTTGCGCGCGAGGCCACGCGCTGGCTTTGGGCAACAGCCCTGCTGCGGCCCCTGGGCGCTCTGCCGAACAGGAGTTGCCTGAGCACAGAGCTCCGCTGCACGGCTGTCTGCAAGTGCGATGGAGAGATGCGCTGCTGCTTGCTCTTCTTGGAGATCTTGCCGGCCGCGTCCATGGTCTTGCGTGTCACCCACTGCAGCACCGCAGCCAGGTAGACAGGGGCCCTGGCTCCAAAGCGCGCAGCAAACTGGCCCCTGCGCAGCTGCCTGTCTACGCGGCTCACAGGGAAGAGCAGCCCAGCCCGCGAGGACCGGGACAAGCGGCTCTTTTTGGCTTTGGCTTTAGTGCCGCTGCAGGGGCCCCCAGGGTGTGTCGCTTCAGGCTCCCGCTCCTGCTCAGGCACCACGCAGACCTCCTCTGCTCCGGACATGCTGCTGGCAGCTTGCTCCCGCAGGTCTCGCCACGCTGCGCCCTCCCGTGCCCCGCCTGCCTCGCCCGCCTGTCCCTGCTTTCCTTGCTGGCCTCTGCAGGGGATTCTTGTCTCGGGGCTCGGCTCGCCTGGGCCTTTGCTTGCTGGCCTGGATAAACGTGGCCTGCAGCAGGGAGGCCAGGAGCGACGTTGCTCCGGCAGAGCCCCTCAGCAGAAGGGCTCAGGCTCAGGCTCTCTCCCGAGCAGGCTCTGGCCCTTTGCTCACCGGGGCAGGGGCAGCAAGGGCTCTCCTTGGCTAGCGGGGACCAGTAGGAAAGGACCTGCTCTGTGACCTCACCTCCCTGCTTGTGACATCATCCCCACCGGCTCTGCCCTTTGCGGGTGAGCTCGGGGAGCACCTCTGGTCCCCAACTCTGCTTCTGCTTTCCGTGGCAGAGGCTTTGCCAGCGCTTGGCAGGGGGGAAGCTGCTCGAAGGCCA